ACATTTAATGGAAGATAATAGGGATATAGCACTTGAAAGATTTAAGAAATTGAGTAACAAATTTAAAATTGATAACTCTTTGTTTTGTTCAATACACAGAGGTTTTAAAGGATTACGAGTTTTAAAACATATTATTGAACCAGTTCAAGAAGACAATCAAAATGATAAAACCCTATTTTATTTACCTCATAGAGCAGTCATCAGAAATGATAGAGCAACAAGCAAACTAAGAATAGTTTATGATGCTTCAGCCCATAAACCAAAAACACTCTCTCTAAATGACTGTTTATATACTGGTCCGAACCTATATCCTGATATTTTTGATTTATTGATAAAATTTAGACAAAATTCGATAGCCTTTACAGCGGACATTACACAAGCATTCTTACAGATAGAGTTAAATGAAGAAGACAGGGACGTTACACGATTCTTTTGGAAAGATGATCCTAATGATAACAATGAAAGTTTGAAAACCTTTAGATTTACAAGAGTTTTGTTTGGAGTAAAATCTAGTCCCTTTCTTCTAGCTGCTACTATTAAGCATCACCTTAAAAAATATTCAGAAATATATCCTGAAACAGTAGAACTCTTAAACAACTGCCTGTATGTTGATGACATTATTGGTGGTCAACCAAAATTTAGAACAAGCCCTGAAAACAAGTTTAGAAATTGTGAACATTTTTAATGAAGCTAGCATGTCACTACATAAGTGGCATACTAATTCCAAAGAACTCAAAAGATATTTGGCATCGCAAAGAATTTTCGATGCAAGAATCTCCTGAAGTTGTCCCGATCAAAGTGTTAGGAATTAACTGGGATACGGATAATGATAATTTTTATTTTGACACTCAGCACTTGACAAATTTCATTTCCTCGTCAATCAACTCAAAACGTTTTCTATTGCAAACCGCAGGCCGTATTTTTGATCCTGTCGGATTTTATGGCCCTTTCACTATAAGAATAAAGTGTCTGATTCAGGAAATCTGGTCTGCCAAAATTGATTGGGACGATGAACTGCCACCTGATCTTAGTTATAAATGGAAAGCCTGGTACGAAGAAATTGAAGAACTGAACCACCTCAGAATTCCCCGCTACTATTTAGAAGGAATATTAGATGCAGATGTGAAACAAATAGAACTCCATAGCTTTTCTGATGCTAGTTTGAAAGCTTATGGATGCGTGGTATATCTGAGAATAGTTTTGAACAATGGAACTTTTCAAACAGTTTTTGTTGCTTCCAAGAGTAGAGTTGCACCTCTGAAATCCCTTACACTTCCTAGATTGGAGCTTTTGGGTGCGCTTTTATCCGCTAGATTGAGTGATAAAATAGCAAAATCTTTAAAATACGAAGTAATCCCCTTCCACTGGACTGATTCTCAAATAACGTATTTTTGGATTCAGGGATCTCCCGAAAGATTTAAATCTTTCATCAAAAACAGAGTTTATGAAATTCAGAAACTAACTGAAAGCAATAATTGGCATTATTGCCGTGGGAAAGATAACCCCTCCGACCTCATATCACGAGGAACTACTGTTGCTAATTTAAGAAATTGTTCACTTTGGTGGTTTGGACCAGAATGGTTGCAAAACAAACGTATAGAATGGCCAGTTCAACCGAAGTTTGACGTGGGAAACGATAAGCAGCAACTAGAACTCCGTAGTAAGATATCTGTTTATGACGTTGTTGTGAAAAGAGATGATCAACTATTGGATATAACAAAATTCAGTAATGTGCTGAAATATCTCAGAATTATGGCATGGGTTAGACGTTTCGTTGCTAAGGCAAGAAAACTGCCTGCTAATAGTGGAACATTAAGTGCCTTTGAAATTCAGGACACTGAAATTTTTTGTGTTCGTAAAGCCCAGATGGATTTCTTCACACCTGAAATTAAGGCTCTTCAATCTAACAAGTCAATTTCTCCAAGCTCTGATATATTCAGCTTGGCACCGTTTCTTGATGAAAATAAAATTCTTCGAATTAAGGGAAGATTAGAAGAAACCGAATATACAGTTGACGAGAAGCATCCAGTTCTTCTTCCTAAAGATTCCAAATTTACTGAATTAATTGTAAAAAGGGAACATAATAACGTTCTGCATGCGGGAGTTGCAGCAACTTTAGCCAAACTAAGACAGAAATTTTGGATTCCTAAAGGCCGTCAGTTGGTAAAGAAAGTCTTAGGGAACTGTTTAATTTGTCGGAAATACGCAGTAAAACCAGCGAAACAAATGACAGCTCAGTTACCTAAAGATCGAATTGTTGAAACTCCACCTTTCTATGTTACAGGCGTGGATTTCACAGGTCCAGTTTACATCAGGTCTGGAAACGACATTCAGAAATCATACATCGTATTGTTTACGTGCGCTGTTACACGAGCGTTACATCTAGAACTCATTTCCAATATGTCTGCAAACAAATTCATTTTGGCTCTCAGACGTTTCATTTCGAGAAGAGGAAACTGTCGCACCTTTTTATTCAGATAACGCGAAAACTTTCAAATATGCTGCCAAAGATTTACAGTATTTTTACAGCATAATTAAAGGTACAGAGTTTCAAAATTTTCTAGCAAATGAAGGCTTGACTTGGAAATTTATCGTCGAGCTTGCTCCATGGTGGGGAGCTTTTTATGAACGCCTTATGAAAACCATAAAGGAACCGTTGAAAAAGATATTAGGCAGAGCTCAACTGAATTTTGAAGAATTTATGACTGTGTTGACAGAGGTCGAAAATATTGTGAATAGACGTCCTTTGACCTACGTTTACAACGATTTACATGAACCTGAACCGCTTGCACCGGCTGATTTTCTATTGATCGGACATAAGGATGAATATCCATACAACTTTGCTGAGATCCTGAATAACTCTCCAACAAGAAAGAGTCTAATAAAACGAAAAGAATATCAGACAACACTTATAAAACAGTTCTGGGAAAAATGGAAAAATCAGTATCTTCTTGAGTTGAGAAATGCTCACTTCTTTGGTACACCAGAAGCCAAGAAAAATCATAAAATTGGTGATATAGTTTTACTTGAAGGAACAACTAAATCTAAGTTTCTCTGGGATTTAGGTCGAGTAATTCAAGTCTTCAAAGGACGTGATGGTCTTGTACGATCATGTGTGGTAAAAACTAAAAAGGGGGACTTTAAGAGACCTGTGCAATTGATATACCCCCTTGAACTATCAGACTGAAAATGAACTAATTTTGTAACCTTTTAATTTTACTTCTTATATTTCATATTCACTAACATTAATTTTAGATAATTAGTTTAGTTATTACTAATAATTTACTGTTTGTAATTTGAATTAATATTTACGTATTGAGTAACATTTGAATTGATGCAGTTAACTATATTTGTTTATTTTATAGAATTTCCTTTTGCAGTTTATATTTACATCAGTTGAATGTATTTGATATGTAAGTTGCTTTCTTATATTTTATTATTTGTATGCTAAAATAGTGATAATTTTTGCAAAAATTATCAGGTGGGGAGTGTGGAAAAATCCCCCAAATGATTTATATATCGCCGTTAGAGGGCGCTTCGCTTCTGAAAAAGAATCTTAGTTTTTTAGTTTGCGACGTAATTAGTTAGCAGTGAACCTTCGATGCAATCCAAGTTGCTTTGTAAATAAAATGATTATTTTTGTAGATTGTTGAAGTATTTCACTTCATTTAGAATTAGAACCACCTTTCGCAATAACTTTCTCTATGCTGCACCTCAAAAAGTACTATTAACAAAACTCTCTTGCTCTTGATAAACATTAGTCACACAGTTCTAACAAAACAAAACAAACAAACAAACAAAAAAAAAAAAAAAAAAAATATTCTAATATTTTTTAAACGAACGGAAAAAGAACTTGTTGCCATTAAAACGTAACTGAAATATAATTAAAACTACAAGATTATGTTTATGCTTTCGCTTATATATTAGCTGGGAAAATGTAAAGATACATAGTAGTATACGGTAATTAAGCTTATAACTGAGAAATGCTTCTAGTAAAAACCAGAAAGCATTATTTGTAAACTGTAGTAAGAATAGCCAAAATTGAAACTAGCATTTGTTTTCAAATTTCCTGCTTATATTTCTGTAATATATATGGAATAAAACTATTTAAATAGAGCTTTTATTTTACATATTTGCATGTAATTTGCATTTTGTTTTAATAAAGATTTTTTTTTGATAGAAAAGCATATGCTATGAAGCTTACTTGGACACTGAAGAATTTTAATTCAAACTATTTTTAGTCTATCAAATTTGAAGCTTTCCTGCGGGGAAACTTGCATACTGCCGCAGTCGTTATTGTCTAAAAGCTTGGCCATGTTCACGCGTGGCAGCTGGATTGTGTGATAGGCAAAAAATTAATAAAGTAACTATGGCAACGGAAATTTTTAGCTTAAATTCTATGAAAGGTAAAAAGTTTTGACTTCCATAAGAACTTTTATTTCGCCTGATGTGAGGAAAACTAATGATCTTCCAATTTCTCCGTTATTTAAGTTTCCTTGCTTTCGACTGTCTTAAAAACTCAATGGTATTAATTTGCCTGCTTTCAAAATTTATTTCTTAGATCTGAGTTCCTATCATCTATATTTCTACTTTTCTAGAGTAACAAAATCGCGAGATTTGAAGGTTATTTACGTTTGCTGATTCCACACATCATATGTATAGCCAGCAAGTTTTTTAAGAAACCGAAAAATTTGGATTTCTCAAGGACGTCGAATGGTATTCCACAAGTTCTCAACTAGAATTTTCGAAAATGAAATTTTGAGATAAAATGTAGAAGGAATCAGCAGGAACATTTTAGCTAAAGTCGTAAAAAAATCGAAATAGAAAAGTTCTGCAAAATTTTTAAGGAAGATTTTAAAAATATTATTACAATAATCGGAATTGAAATCATATTTTATTTCTTTACCATCACTAATTATTACTTTTAATACTTTTTTAATCTAAATTTAATATTTTATTGATTAACTTATTTCATTCATTCATGTTTTTATATTTTACAGATGATCAAGCATTAGGAGGTCTTTCGGAATATGCTTCCGAATTTCTTAAAGACCATTGGCAAAAGATGTCCACAAACAACTCGTCGTATCGTTCTCTTACCTTTAGCGATACTTGGAGTTTTTGGCTTCCTAATCAATGTGCACATTTCGTAAGTTATATTTAATATATTTCTTGAATAATAATTCTTCACTATGAGCTTAGCTTTCCCCTTTGATTATTGTATCACACTTTGGAAACACTTATTGCTTGCAAAGCGACCGCTTTCTCAACACAAAATGCTCCTGTCTGACCTGCTAGATGTGCTCAATCATGGTTCGAAGAGCATGATAATGAAATAAAGAAAGAGGAAGTTAAAACTTCGTAGTAAAGAAAGAGAAAGCTGAGCTCTTATTATTCACGTTTCCTACGCAATTTATTGTATATGCTTATTGCTTGGAATATCTTTGAAAGTTTATTTTAACCTTTTAACTGTCATGCCCGAGATTATCTCGGGCACAGCACTGGTGTTCGAAAATGTCACGCCCGAGTATTTCTCGGGAGATGTTTATTTCGGCTACATTTGGTTTTTCCAATAAAAAAAATTTGATAATTTGTGTACCCAAATCATCAAAATAACTTGACAGTTAAAGGGTTAAATGCTATGATTCTTGCAGTGACAATTCAGAATTACCAGGTGACCTTCTGAATAATGAAATAATATATATTTATTAGGGAAACTGTTTAAATGTTCGCTAAAAGCTCAGAATACGCGAAAACCACCAACCTTGCACCCAGTAAGTAAATTTTACCTTTTCACTTGTAAAACATCACCAGATTGCGCCAAGGTGTTTGCATTGATACGTATCTAATTTTTTAGAAAATTATTTTGCTGAAATCTTTAGTTAGCCGTGAATCTTAACTAAAACTGAACTAAAAAATGTATGCTCTTGCCCCAGTTTTCAACTTTTCGTTATCCTGCAGCGCTGACGCATATCTCGTCTCGTACTGTTTTGTCGTTTCTTGTACCTTTCAAAATGTTTAAAACCTTTTTAATCAAAGTTAATACCAAGTAAAGATTGATTTTAAACAAAAACTGTCGCTAAACAGCGTGAATTAGTATCATTTACTAATGGATGACCATGATATCTCATAACAAATCATAAAGTTTTCGCTTTGGTTTTATATAAATCCGCTTATTCCTTAAAAGGCCAATTTAATTTTTGTAAAGAAGAATAAAAGTTAATTGTAATTTCTATGCTTTTTCTGACGGTTTGAAAAATATTATTTTATACATACCTATGAAAATTATCAATGAAACAAGCATTTGAATATTTTCACAGCAGCAAGTATTTTGCACTTTTAATCCACAAATCCATTTGATTATCATAGCTTAAAAGTGAAAAAGCGGAAAATGACATAAAATAAAAATATTAAAGAGCATTTTTAAGAAAATAAAAAAAAGGATTTCTGTTAACTCTTTGAGGGGCAATAAATGGCAATTAACTTTTTCCGTAAAACTTGTTTTGGTATTACAATGAAATTATTTGCGAGAATTACACATATTTTGTCCTAGACGCGTGAAAAAAATGACCACTTCTGGTGGTTAGTGTCGGTGACCATCGCCCACAGAACACATCCCTTCAAATCAGTCTCTATGATACTCATGGAAACAGTTTATCTTTTTACAAGTAGAGAACAACTTTGCATGTGCTGCATTCCCATACATTCAAGATGCAACTTTGCATATGCTGCATTCCCACACTGTTCTTACAGGCTTTTTCTTGGTGCTGCAGAGTGCGCATCGTTGGGATGTTGTCTTCGGTAGCTGATACTTATTTTCTTGAAGACTATTAGCTGCATCAACTACTGGCTTATGTTTCTTGATTACCATCTAGTGAGCTACAAGGGAACTTCAGAAACGGTCAGCCTTGAAAGCCACTCACACGAGTGAGAAAGACGTTCAATAGAAAAGGTGGTTACTGTAGGTAACCATCGCCCTTCAAAGAGTTAAATATCTTTTTATTACCTTTTACATTTTATTTTCAATATGAGGAAACAAATTCATATGGAAATGTAATTCTCACTACTCTCGGTTACTTTTAAAACTGTTGTATAAATAATACTTTTTACAGTGTAAGAAAGCCGAAACTATTTTTTCTATTAAATAGACATAATATTTATATTGTTACGGATTTGGTATTTAAATAGCTAATGTTAGTTGAATTGTAAATTAAATGGTTTTATTTCTCCCGCAGTGCAGCGCGTGACGAATATTAAAAGAAAGCTAAGCCGGAAAATTGAAAATACAAGAGCATTTAACATTTAATAAATAACTCTTTTTGATTTCGAGAAACTTCCAGAAAGTCCTCGCGCGCGATTTAAAAATCTTATACAACGGAGGAAAACCTCTCAATTCAGTTAGGTAAATCCAATGGCGGACGGCTTCCGCCCTTCATTGTAAAAGATACCAACTTCAACTGGAATAAAGCTAGAACGCTCTTAAAGAAGCATGGACTGTACTCTGAAAGTGACTACTTCGGTCAGCAAATCCAGGACGAATTCAAGATATTGGTAAAAATACCAACTATTTTTAAACAAGTCCAGAAAATTCTGAAAGATGAAAAGGTGAGTTTCCACTGTTTTGAGCTACCTGCATCTAAAAATTTAAAAGTAGTAATCCGGCATTTACCGGCTTACATGGACATTAATGAAATTGCTGAAGAATTAGTCGCCAAAAATTATGACGTCATCCGTGTCAACCAATTGAAAAGACGAAGAAATGGTGATGTAATCAACCTCCCCCTCTTTCTCATTACTCTCTTAAGAGAAATGACAAAAATAAGAGAATCCATCAAGAATCTTTCCTTATGGGAATGAAAATCAAAGTTGAGGATTACAAGGGCAGAGCGGGACCCTTGCAGTGTTATCGCTGCCAAGGGTTCCACCACTCGCAAACGAACTGCAATCACGAGCCGCGTTGTGTTCGTTGCGCTGAGGCGCACGAAACTTTCAATTGTTCAAAAGGATAAATCTGAACCATCCGAAATGTGCCAACTGTTTGCAAGTTGGACACACAGCCAACTATAGAGGATGTGAGAGAAATTTCCACAGCAGAAAGTGACTCCCAAAGCTAAAACGTTCAATGAACGTATAGTGACGAATAAATCATATGTGCTCAGGCATTAACTACGGGACTCGCTCCGGAAGCTATGAAAATGATGACAGAGGCCAAACAAATGTTCCAACAACTAAGTATGTTTGGTCACCTTCATTAAGGAATCTGGAATTCCTTTTCTGTGCAAGAAATTAATTGATGAAAACTCAACTACACATCAGGAACGAAATCCGGACTCCCAAATTCATGGATAATTACACCAGACGGCTGACAACTATCCGTTTCGTTTTCTGGAACGCCAATGGCCTCCATAATCGAATTGGTGAATTCCAACAATTTTGTATTGATCATGATATTGACATTGGCATGATAACTGAGACTCATGCAAAACCATGCCATCGTCTCAAAGTTCCGAACTATGTTTCATACAAATGTGACCGTAATTAGTGTAATTAGTGTCTATTAAATAATGATCACGATAGTATCTACTTTCAGTGACACCAAACTCAAGCAGCAAGCGTCTGAGGCTCATCCTAGTTTACGAGCTCTTCTTCCCGTGCCTTGTGTTTATCTCCTGACGTACTTGGACATAATATGCATATGTAAATAATTTAGAAGACTGATTTATATAATTAATTTTACTATTTCTACTTTCATGTATGTTTTGTACTGTATTTAATTGCAATTTTAGTGAGGTATTCTTCAGAAGACTCGCAACCAATGATAAGTCAGCTTGCAGCCCACGTGACAACTGGTCACGCCCCTTCGCTTTAGCTCCTGCCCTTCTGGACTCACACTTCGAACTTATTCTCTTTTCAGCGCCCAAAGAGCAAACATCTGATGACAGCCGAAACACATCAAGCAGAATGCTTGATAATTTCAGCATAAGCGTAACTTGGAACTTGGACAATTCAGTTAGTCAGTGATTTTAGTTAGCTTGTTGTTGTTTTAAGAGTTTGTTTAGAAAACTCCTCTTGTTGATTGTAGCGAATTCGCGGATTAGCTTTCTTTAGCTGTTTTGAATTAAGTTCTATTGAACGTTTGAGTAGTTAAAAGATAACTACTGTGAGATATTGTAATACTGCACAATAATTTGAGGAAATTTAAGCATATTTTTGTGATAAATATAAATTTTGTTCATTTTCCATCGGACTTGTGCATTCATTTCGTGACGAACCCGTATGCACGCAACAGTATTTTATATATGCTGACTGGGTGTGCAAAATACCTGCGAAATTATATTCTTCGTTTTACATTCATGATAGAGCCACGTTATCTTCCACATAGTAACCGGGAAAGAGAAGTCTCTCAATAGCTGTCATGGATATTACATACGCTCATCATACTTTCTGAGAAACGCTGAAGTGTAAAGCCTAACAGGCTTCCAAAGAGGCGTGATTGTTGTGGAGTGTTTAGCCGCAGCCTGTGTTGCGGAATTTTGGTTATCATCATCATTATGACAAAATCATTATGACAGTCATAATTTTCAGCTATTATGGCAGTGTATACTAAAAACGGTGAAATGGCATCTTCAAAGCACAGCACTGGACAGAAAACAAAGCTGACCGTTAGGGATAGACGGATTTTGAAGTACAGAGCATTTTGAATAAAAAGCACAAGCCGTCCTTATCGTAAATAACATATGATATTAATACATGTTTCCCGAACCCCGTCTCAAACAAAACTGTCAAAAAAGAACTTCAGGCCTTGAACATTTGTGGCAAAATGGCATTTCGTAAACCTTTGGTGGGCCCACCAGCGGCCGAGCGGTAAAGTCGCTGAACACTGGTAGTTCGGTCCGAGGTTCGAATCCCGCGAACGGGCTGGCTGCATGGGCGTTTTCGTGGTTTTCCCCATGTGGAACGTGTATACGAGCCAGTTTGCCTTAGAAAGTCCTCCACGAAGGCATCCCTCCTCTTAGGCAGATAGCCGTCGAGACTTTGCCATAATCACACACACACACACACACATGTAAACCTTTGGTAATATCATGTAACGATTTTAAATGACTTCAGTGGTGCAGAGCTTGTCAAGCATGGACCCCGCAACAGTGGCAAGAAGTCATCTGGTCTGAAAATCAGCATTCATCCTTTTTCAGATTCTGTATCTTTATCTAGTATGAAACATAGAAATGCTTCCTGTCGGTTTTGGATGCGGTATCTTGGCGCGGTCTTGGCCCACTTCTTCTGCATGTGAATATGAAAGCCGATCAGTATTGGAACATTCTGTCAATCCATTTGGTCCACTTTAATGCTTGAAGAGCAATGGCTTTATCATGACGATAATGCTCCCGTCAGCGCTGCTAGATGGATTCAAGCTTGGTTTGAAGAACATGATAAGGAAGTAAGATATCTCAGCTCCCATCTATTCCCTGACTTGGATATTATTAAACATTGAGGGGATGTTTAAGTTCATGCCTGAAATCCTCTTCCAGTTACATAATCCGTTTTGGACAAAAGAGTCATTTATTCTGTCCGCACATACAGACGTCACGCAGAAAATCATCCAAATGGATTCAGGAACGGGCAAAATGTATATTTCCGCTGAAATATGATACCCGAACTTTTTCGCGATTACAATAAGTCTTTTACTTTGTACAAGGAAGTAAACCATATAGGACATAAATATGGGTATATAAATTCAAAAGCAAGCAAATTTTTAATGCTCTTCTGTCTTCTGTATCTTGTTATTAAGACATCAAGTTTTTTAAAAATGTATTGAGGGTTATGTTTTTAGGTTCTTGCCTATTAATAAGAGTATTTACGTGTAGAGAGCTTTTTCAGAATACCTAATCTGGATAGTCTTGTGTCCAGGGTGAATGATGAAGGTAGACTGGGGAAAGTTTGATCCATAATATAGTGAAAATTGATTATTTTTTATAGCCGCATCATTACCAAGGACCATTGATAGATCGAATTCATGCGAAACTGGTGCATATTGTATATAAATTGTTCAATGTTTTCATCTGCTGTTTAGTTGACATTTCAAGTATTTATTTGAATTAAAGTTTTTTCTAAACTTCGAAATTCTTTGCTTTGTACCATTAAATCACCTTTTGGGTGACAACTTTCTCGACTATGAATTGTTCGTTCGATTTTGTGTGTGTGTTTAATAATTTTTGCTTCTTTATAGATTATTCTCGGTTTAAAAAAATTTTTCACTGAATTTTTAATACTTCTGCGTATTTCGGATAAGTTTTTTATTTTAGAAAAGTTCATTTTAATTTGAAATAATTTTCATTCATGATTTTACTTTGTATTTTTGCCATTTTTCATGCTTTGGAGAGAACCTGAATTTTCAGGTGAACTATTAAGTTTTAAAAAATGTATAGGAAGCATCAGCTGATTCTGGATACAGAAAAGCAAGAATTTTCTTATGGAAGAGGAACTGCAATTTATTTCAACGTACCTCCTCCTGACGACGTTATGTTGAAGTTGATAGAATTCCTCTTCTTTCATGTTCTTTTCTATTTTCTTTGTTTTTGGTTTGTCTTGTCATGTTTATTTTAATTTTATTTTTACATCTACAACATTATATTCTACATTTATAGGATCTTTTGAAATTTATTTATTTAAATTTCATTTTTGGGTTTTTGTGAAAAATTAGTTCTAAGTTTCTTTGTTTTACTGATCAATTTTCTACTGCATAATGCTCGAAAATTCTTGGGATAATTACATTTTTTATTTATAATAATTTTTTGTATACATATGTGTGTACCTCGAATGCAATATTCGAACTATAATATCAGATGATTCTTGGGCCATGGTCCTTTCAAAGAAGAATACTCATATTATGAAATAATAAAGTACAAATAGAAATTTTCATCGCATATGAATTGAACTACATTTTGTAATAAAACATATAAAAGCAAAGGGATGTAGTATTTTCTGTCTTTAAGCTAGTAGTAGGTATTCTCTTCTTTTCTGTGAAAAAGAAATTTAATTCTCCAGTTTTTGAGAAATTCATTAATGAAATCATGTGTAATAAAATTCAAAATGATTGTTTTCAAGTGAATATTAAAGCAACTAGACATCAATATTTTCTTCAGTAGTATACGCTAATGTCCCTTTAATTTGGCTTTTAAATATTGTGTATTTATTTAAGTAAAAGAGCTAGTATTTTCGACACTTTTACGCTGGTAACAGAAAAATCTAGTTATTGCTCCTATTAATCAGCCTGATAATTTACGAATGCTTTTGATTTGAAGAAACTGAAAGATAAAGGTTGACTTTATATAGAGAGTGAAGTTTTTGTCATTTTATGAAAATGAAAAAAAAAAAAAAAGTCATTTTCAAATCTTTGGTATCATGAAATTTGTTAGCATTTTTATGAGAAAATAAATCGTCATTTATAAAGAATTTTACGATGGTCGAGAATTTTTGTTGAATGAAATGACTATACGCCTTTTTCATCTAAAAGCGTTTCAAATTTGGATTTTCGTCCAGTTCAGTCCGTTTCAATTTATCCTTAACGACCGCATCTTCTGCTGCTTTTGAATTTTCCGATGACTTTTTCTCTTTCATTTTCCTCTGAGTAATTAATCTCAGTATACAAAAGTTCACGATCACTATAAGAAATTACAAGATATTTTCTTCCTCCTTCCAGCATGCTTTCGTGGTGTAACGGTAGCTTACACGGCGCGTATTCGAGAGGTCCAGGTTTCGAGTCCCGGCGAGGACATTTACACATTTTTCACGTCTCCTGCTTCAAAATAACCTAATGAATCTACAGTGGCGCCCGAAGAAAAGGTGGTGGACGGTAATTCGTCACCACTAGGATTTGGCGATTGGGTCTCCTAATCCCTCAGACGTCCTTTAAAAGGGGAAAAATGTAAGGTATTTTCTTCCTTATTTCTGCACGCCTTCGTGGTGTAATTAGAAACATACTCGACGAGTATTCGAGATGTCCGGAATTCGAGTCTCGGCGCAGAGCACTGCACATTTTTCACGTCTGCAGCATCAAATGCAAAGAAAGTCTATTGACTCTACAAACTTAACAGCAGTTATTTCATTTTCTTCACTATGGGAACTAGAAGCCGTTTTCAAAAAGGATAACACTACAAAATAAGAAACGCCGGCTTTTAAAGCCACAAAGTAGTGTTCCACCGCTGTCTATCATGCAACTGGGATTAACATCTCCCTCCTTTCAAGTTTGTTCTTTGGATAATTGTCATAATCTGCCGCCCGTAAAGTGTTAATAGATAATATCTGAAGCATTTTCTCTGTTGTTATTTATTTTTAAACTCAGTTATCCTCCTCTTAGTTATTAAGTTAAATATTCTTAATTTTCTTTTAAACTTTCAATAATTGCATAATTGTATCGTGGGCATTCAGTTTATTGCTATATTTGATTGAGAAATCAGTGTTAAATCTATTAAGTTGCGTTTATAATAAAATTTTGCCTTTTATTTCAGGTTTATGTCCTCTGATTTTGGTATCTGCTATCCCAAGACAAATATCGTATTCCTGAAAACACACAAATGTGCTGGATCATCCATCCAAAATATTCTTATGCGCTATGGAGATAGTCACAATTTAACCTTCGTTCTACCTCGCAAAGGAAATTATCTAGGTCATCCCGCCCCTTTCAGTCGGGTGATGGTGGTACCCCCTCGACTTCCTATATACAACATCCTCGCTCATCATACTCGACTGGATTACAGAGAAATAAAAAGTATTATGCCTCACAATACCGTCTTCATCACCATAATTCGGGATCCCGTCCAGATCTTTGAATCGTCTTTCGCTTATTACCGTTTAGAAAAGTTCTACGGCTCTGATTTGCATAAATTTATACAGCTGTTGCCTAATGCAACCAAAGACTTTGTAAATAAACGGTACAAAGGTAAGTTTGGTGCCAACCAAATGTTCTTTGATCTAGGAGGTAATCCTGATGTTTCCAGCAACCAAACCATGATTCTTCCTTATCTGGATCAACTCGAGTCGTGGTTCGATTTGGTGCTTGTGGCTGATAGAATGGATGAATCTTTAATATTACTGAGACATCTAATGTGCTGGGATATTGATGATGTTGTTACTTTTAAACTCAATGCTCGCAGTCCAAAATATAAAAGTGCACTCAACGATGAAGAAAAGAGTAGACTGAGGAAGCTGAATTATGCTGATGTTCTGTTATACAATCGTTTTCTCACAAAATTTGAAAAACAAGTGGAAGCTTTTGGTTTGGAGCGCATGGCTTCTGAAACTGCAGAACTTCGTGACAGAACACAGAAATGGTATAGGTTTTGTGTTAAAGGTGAACAGACGTTATCGACACCACGAGTGAAACCAAAGTATTATTATAATCCAAGAGTAATGGTGTTCGAACCGAATAATAATGTTACCAATAGTACCTGTAACGCCATGACATCAGAAGAACTTCCGTTTACAGATAAATTACGGAAAGCACAAATGGCGAGATTTTCCACATTATACCAAACGTTTTCAAGGCGCAACAAGACTCAGTCTTTAAAAATTCTTTCTAAATACCAAAAGATTCCAAAGACGTAATGAGTATGTAAATAGTGAAGTTTGTTTTGCACTTTTTCTTATTGCAACTAAATTTTGAATGTTATATTGAAGATTATATTTATATGCAAGTAATAAATTCAGATTTTTCAAAGCGTTTTGTCTCTTTCTGAATGATTAAAAGTTATATTCCACTCCTGGCATATTTTAGGCAATCTCGTGCGCTATCGAAAGTGATAGTTATTGTTTGACTATCACTTTAATAGCGACGATAGTTCTTGTTTGGCTGAAAACAAGATATATAAAATATTTACATTGCTTCTAAAAAAATTCCAAAATTTCCTGTTTGAATGCCAAGTATATTAGTTTTGAATGTCGCATAATCCAAAATTCCTAAAAATATTAACATACAATAAATAACTTAACATTGTTATTTTCCGAAATAATGAAAGCTAGTACAATTTATTTGATTTAACCTGGAAAAAAGATTTTAAAGTAGTAAAGTATGATATATATCTTTTCCTGTTGCTCGATGATTTCTTCCTTTCTAGTCCGTTAGATGCACTGGGCCCACCAGCGGCCGAGTGGTAAAGTCGCTGAAGACTGGTAGTTCGGTCCGAGATTCGAATCCCGCGAACGGGCTGGCTGCATGGGCGTTTTCGTGGTTTTACCCATGTGTAACGTATATACGAGCCAGTTTCCCTTAGAAAGTCCTCCACGAAGGCATCCCTCCCCTTAGGCAGATAGCCCTCGAGGCTTTGCCATAATCACACACACACACCGTTACATGCACTGTGAAATGTCTGGCGACCGGTAACATCAAAATGACGTCACTTTAGACGTCTAAACTTAAGCCTGTGAGATATATAAAGTATATAATGGCTAACAAAACAATCTGAAAATTTAAATGTGAAAAATATTTATGTTATGTTTCTAACGTCCAACGTAACACGCACTATCCAACCAATAGACAAAGGAATTATGTAGAATATAAAGATGAACTACCGATTAATTTTAATGCATCGATGTATTAACTTTGGTGCTGGGCTTTATGATTTTCAGAAACGATTTGTATTGCAAAACGCCAGATTTGTTTTGTCTTTTTTCTTGGAAAGTTGTAAAGAACATTACGTTGCTGTTGGCGTGTATTATGACTTATGATCATGTTCGTAGATGATGAGTGTCAAAGAGTCTCTTGATTTTAAAACACGTGGCCGATATTTTGCACTTAGTTAAATGTTCGGAATCGAAAAAGATCCCTTTGTTGCCGGTTAAGAGGGTACTTACTGTATTACTCTTCCTTTTCTTTTATAAAAGTGTCTGGTCTTCCGGGCATTCACAAACCTCACGAAATGAATTTTGTTATGTAAACTTGCGATTTCGACATGATTTTTGTCTCTGCCATACTCTACAAACCTCAAGTAAATTAAGTGTGTAATTAAACTATTAAATCTTCAGGTTCATCTTTTAGACAGTTTAACAAGCGCCGTTTCGACACTAATAGCCCCTCTGGGCTTTAAAAAAAAAAAGAAGAAGAAGAAGACTGTAATCTTATTGCAGAAACTCTAACCATTATAGAGAATATAAGTGCAACATATTTTTCAGGTGAAGAGTAATGTGGAGTTTGCCTTACCATGGTGTCCAAGAACACACTTCATAAAATGGTTGAAACTTTCGTATAGAGAAAATATATAACTAGGTCCAACTGACATTTTAACTTGGAACATTTAGTGAAGATTATCAACGATTTTTTACACTCTATGAAAACAGATGACAGGAGCGTGAATATTTAGAAAACATTTGTCACAATATAGAAAAATAAGTTCTTTCATTGTTATAACGTCTTACACGCACTTTTCTGTTATGGCGGCCTCGTCTGCTTTTTTTCACAAGATAATTTTTGTCGAAGGTGTGTAGCGCTATCTGTTGATCGTGAAAGATGACATCCCACAGTAATAAATGTAAAATGAGACACGCATATGTAATCATTTCATAAAAAGTTTAATAAAATCAATATGGTGATAATGTATTCCTTAAGCCAAACAATTTACTAAACTACTAATTAATGATAAAGAAGACTAACTATTTCAGAGCATTTTCGCAAGTAGTAATGACTTATAAGCTTCTAAAAAAAACGTAAAAAATGTTTTCGTGAGTATAAGTATTATACATCTCTGCTGGTGATTGCTTGATACTACAAAGAGAGTGTTTACGTACCTCGTATTAGAATGGCGCCGATATGGATGACGCAGTTTCGACTTTGATTATACTTAATAAATTCAGTCACTCTCGGTCTATTTCAACCAAACTGAATACATTTAATAATAAAACATTCACACGTAAACATTTAGTAATAATTCAGGAGTACAGATAAACATAAAATAAGAATTACAACCGTTACAGGTCAGCTACGCTTTTAGCGACCGAATCCCACGAACGACAAATCTCAAAAGCGGGTTGCCAACGCAGGGCAACGAAAAGGTAGAAATTAATTTGGTAGGCGTGGAAGTGAACATACTCCCACCCTATCAGGTTTAGTCCTGATACACAAGCAACGGTTAAAGTTTATTAATTCCTCTTTTTGAAAACACCAGTTTTAGTTTTGACAGTGGCTACGCGAGCTAAGCCGTCCTTGCCCGGATGGACATCAATGATCCGTCCAATAGGCCAAGCTAGCGGTGGAGATCCATCTTCGATGATAAGAACCACCGTGTCGATTTTTAGATTGGGTCTGTTGTACTGTCACTTGGATCTCTGCTGAAGTGAAGTCAAGTATTCCTTTTTCCATCGCTTCCAGAATCCCAGACGTAGATTCTGTACAAGTTCCCACCTAGAACTCCTTGTGCGTAAAGTTTGATGGGTCTCTGGAAAGGAAGTTAAAGTATCACCTGTAATGAAATGAGAAGGGGTTAAAACATTAATACAGTCAATATCAGTATCGTTCACGTAAGTAAGTGGACGTGAATTCAAAATAGCCTCGATCTGGGTAAGTAGCGTTGATAACTCTTCGTAGGTTAAAACTCTTTCAATACTCTTCTCAGATGAAATTTCGCTGAGCGAATGCCGGCTTCCCATATTCCTGCGAAATGGGGCGAAGCAGGCGGTATAAAATGCCATTCAATAGATGACTTAGTTAGTTCTCGGGAAACCGATTCCTGTTGCATACAAGGAAGACCAAATCTGATTTAGTTCTTGTAGTTTTCGGCATGCTCCCACAAAATTGGTACCGTTGTCACTGTAAATGTGCCGTGGTGCACCGCGACGTGAAATGAAACGTCTAAGTGCAGCGATAAACGAGTCTGCCGTCAGGTCACTGACTGCTTCTATATGCACAGCTTTAGTCGACAAGCAAACAAACAGAGCTATATAGCCTTTCGTTGTTTTAGAGCCACGACCCTTATTAAATTTCATGGTAATAGGACCAGCGTAATCCACACCAGATGCGTAAAAAGGTCGTTCCAAAGTCACACGATGTTCAGGTAAGTCACCCATCAATTGCGGATTTGAAGCAGCTTTAAATCGATGACATATTAAGCAATGGTTGACACAACTGCGTATCAGTTTTCTTTCCTCCAATTATCCAGTAAGATTGTCTGATGAGGTGTGATAATAAAGAAGGACCAGCATGAAGGTAAGTAATATGAAGTTCTTTCACTAGTAATTCGCTAAATTTATGTCGAGAAGGAAGTATGACAGGGATGTTTGATGTTAAATGCTAAAGATGAATTTCGAAGACGTCCTCCCACCCGTAAGAGACCATCTTTATCTACGAATGGATACAAAGAACGTAGTTGGCTCTTCTTGGGTAAAGGTTTCTCTTCTTTAATACATTGTAAATCATCTTTGAAATGATGATTATGAATCCAACGAATAATGAAATTTTCTGCTACTCGAATCTCTAGAAATGTTAGCGGCATAAGGCAGCTGGAGTTAATGCCACTATGTGAAATGTTCCGAGTAACATGATGCTTCTTGCAATTAGTAATAAATCTTATCTTTCGCAGTAAGCCAGAAATACGAACAATTTTACTACGCGAAGAATAATGCTCGAACAAATTAGCTAATAAATCATTCGATTCACGTATATGAGAAATAAAAATAGGGTCAGATCTTTGTTCGGCCTTTACTTCAGTATCATCTTCAGATTTTAATTCATATTCAGGCCATTTTTCCTCTTCCAGACGCAACCATGGTGGACCATTCCACCACAAAGTACAATTTGGTACGAGTTGAGGTTCAGTACCACGAGAAGCAATGTCTGCAGGATTTTGTTTAGAGGGAACATGATTCCAATGTTTAATAGGTATCACTTCTATTATTTGAGATGTTCTGTTTGCCACAAAAGTTTTCCAATTACGTGGATGAGCTGATAGCCAAGACAGAACTACCTTGGAATCCGTCCACGCAAAGATTTCAAAATCAAACTTCTTTAAAATGTTCAATAGAGATCGCATTAATCTGGTCAACAAATACGCAGCACAAAGTTCTAATCGAGGAATGGATACTTGCTTTATAGGCGCGACTTTAGTCTTTGATACCAAAAGATTAACCTTAACCGTACCATTGCACCTTTTGGCGACAGTAAATGGCTGCTGCATAAGCCTGCGAAGATGCATCAGAAAATCCATGTAGTTGGATAACACTGTCCGTTGTAAGTATGACACGTCTCGGAATTTCACAATTATTGATTTGATTGAATGTCTCTTGAAATTTAAACCAATCATCTGAGATATGCTGGGGAACAACTGAATCCCAGTCGCCTTTAACTAACCATAGTTTTTGATAGAATATTTTAATCAATATAGTGCAAGGAGATAAGAGACCTAAAGGATCGAAAATGCGAGCAGATTCTGCTAATATGCGTCTTTTTGTTATAGGTGCGTTGATGTGCAGTGTAGCTTTAAAACTGAAGGTATCAGTAGTTGAATTCCAAAGAAGTCCTAAGACTTTCGAACTCGAATTAGGAGATATCTCAAAATCAGAATTCAATGAACAATGTTCCTTAAATTCAGTTAAGAATTCTACAGAATTTGAACTCCACTTCCTCAAATCAAAACCACGTGCATGTAAAATTGAAGATATTTTCTTGCAGACAAATACTGCATCATCAACTGTATTTGCACCCGACAATAAGTCGTCCATATACATATCCTTTTG